ATAGTGGTCTTGAAGCAAAAAAAAAAAATGCGACAAAAATGTACCCAAAAACGGTTTGCAAGGGAGTGAGTCTATGGTACGTGTGGACTTAAAATCGCAGTAAATCAAAATCTTGGCTGATCCTAATTTCAAGGTCCCGAAATTCGAAATGTTCACAGTAAATGCAAGTTTTCTACTGATTTCGATCAGCTTTCTTATATATTTGTCCATGGAATCTGTGTTGATTGGTTCACGTTATTGTTCTTCGTTCGATTCATTTCGAATCGAATACTTACAATTTCGTTACATGCACACTTTCTATCATACTCTTTTTTTAATCGAACGCATTGTTCGCCTTCTGTTGCGTCTGCAGCAATTGTTATTACAAATATGTTGTGCGTGCTGATTATAACTCATTACATACTCGACTCTCTGAAGGCGCTTTTTGTGCAAAAGTAGCGCAATCTGTTGGAGAACGAAAAAAGTAGGGATTAATCGATTCGTTCAATCCCATTTCTGTTGTTATCCAACAGATTGCGCTACTTTTGCACAAAAAACGCCTTCAGAGAATCGAGTATGTAATGAGTTAAAATCAGCACGCACAACATATTTGAAACAACAATTGCTGCGGACGCAGCTGAAGGCGAATTGAAAACAACCGTATAAAACACGTTGAAAACCATGATCTCACGCTGATCTCTTTAATTGATATTTTTACCAATAGAGAGTTGTATTTTACAGTTATTTTATGTGGGATTCTGGAAAAAATGTTCAACATAAACTAAAACACGAGATATGATAGATGCTCCGCAGCCCGTGACAAGCTATAAAATAATAAAATAAATTACACAGCGGGTAACAAGACTAGTTTAAGCGTCGACCTCCAACTTTCCCTTTTCATGTTTTCAATTTTAAAGGGCAATTTTGGGAAACAACTATGAGAAACATGCCATACATTTTTTACAATTATCATCCATCTTTCAATGTTAATTTTGTTTAAAAAAATACTCCGATTGTTTTGATTCTCAGGGCACGGTTTCCTGCTTATCAATCTTCATTAAAGAAAAAAAAGTGTAGAGTCGACCTCCAACTTTCCCCTTTGATGTTTTTTTATTTCAAAGGGTAGAAGAAGGTTCAAAGAAATACGCCATGTATTTTTTTATTATTATCACTCTTACTTTAATGTTAATTTTTTTCCAAAAATATCTCGATCGTTCTAATTGTCTAATAACAGTTTTCTGCACATCAATCATCATCAAAAAAAGTAGCGCTGACCTCCAACTTTCAAAGAGTAATTTCAGGGATAGACCATTCCATGAGAACCACGCCGCTTATTTTTTTATTATTATTACTCTCATTTTAATTTTGATTCTTTTTTTTTAAATTTTGATTGTTTTGATTCCCAGGGTACGGTTCCTTGGGAGTAGGTTGGCGAGCCTGTAGGAAGGGTTGCGGTGTAGGAGCCCTCGCTGGGGCTGGGTGTCGGGTGGCGGGTTCTGGGCGGAGGAAGCGAGGTGTCCCTTTTATTCTCGTCACGATCCCTGCGATCCCTGGGCTGCGGTGGCGGTGCGTCGCGCTTTCAGCTGAAGGACGAACGCGCGCCGCGGAATACGTAAACAAAGTCACAACTCCCGCCACGCTCCCGCGCACCCCCGCCCCCATCCCGCCCCATCTTGTCACCCCTCGGCCCTCGGGGGTTGTCTCTTTTGGCAGGGAAATCCGATCAAAAGACTCTTGTAGACGAGAGCTTCAACCAATCAGGTAGATCCTATCACAGGTAAAATCACATGAGTTCATCCAGAGTCCCTTTATACTGAGAGTCAAGACAACACCCCCTCATGGAATCACAAACGGGAATAAAGATTACACAAATTGATAGTTTTTCGTAATCTTTGATCGATGCGAGGTAAAGCTTTATTCTTACGTAAAAAAAGAACAAAAAGAGATTCTCAATTTGGATGTTTTAACAGTTTTTTGAAAATTATTTTTTTCGAAATTTGCGTAGTTTCCATGAGGGGGTGTCATGGAATCACAAACGGGAATAAAGATTACACAAATTGATAGTTTTTCGTAATCTTTGATCGATGCGAGGTAAAGCTTTATTCTTACGTAAAGAAAAGAACAAAAAGAGATTCTCAATTCGGATGTTTTAACAGTTTTTTGAAAATTATTTTTTTCGAAATTTGCGTAGTTAAAGAATAAAAAACCAGGCAATGCTACTAAGTGGGCTTTCTTGCAGCGAGTTGATTATTGAATTTGACAGATGAAAGTATAGCGACAAAGAAGACTAAGAACAGATGGAGCGATCCTATTGGCGGATCGTTGCAATGAACAAGCAATTGAACAATGTAATTGAAAGACTAACTGACTGCAACCCATGAGAAACCCAATAGTCAGTCCATCGTTTTCTCTTCAGTATGTAACAACGTAGCCGTTTCAACCAATTGGGTCGCTCCATTTTCTTATAATCCTCTTGAACGTCCTGAAAACGTTACATTTGGCAATAAATCTGAATAATTTCAGGTTTCTCTGAAGTTAAGGTCTAGGCTTGAGCAAGTTCTGTGCTAGATTTCATACAAGAGTCGCGTGATTTAATTAAATATTCCCGTCCTCCATACCCGTCGACCCTTCTTTTGTTTTCATTATTTTCATTGCTTTTTTTCTGGCACCCTCTTCGCTCGCAGTTCAAACTATATTATTTTACGACCCACCATTCTAATGGGAGTGACCCGCTCTCTTAAAAAAAAATATATGAGAGCGAGCTAACTTTAGCCCCGTTATTTTTTCTTCAGAGATTTCTTCAAACCAGAAATTTGTAACAAGGCAGAGAGACCCATTTACGATCACACATTGATCTGAAGAATAATTCTATCAACTGTGAGGTAATGCTCCCATAAGATTAATCAGTAATATGAATTGGCGTTATAAACATCAATTTTTAAAGTACTATGGCGCATCTCTCGGGTTGTGACGTTGTAAATATCCTGTAACACTTGACTTTTTAAAAGAGGGCTTTCTCAATAACTGACGAACACTTGAAAAATTCAAACGCTCCTTTAATTTACATCGAAATAAATGACGCAACCCTGTGAACGCTGATTCGAGAAAGCGAACGCGCCTTCATTATTTTGAATATGCAACTCGGGCATCCGTCGAGCAGGAATAGTTGTATCAAAGCGCCGTCAGCCGCGTCTCGCTTATTGTGCGTATGTGCGACGGGCGCGTTGACTTCACCCGCCGTCAAACGTGTTTCCATTCTTCGGTTGTAGAACAACTTTTGAAAAATAATGAGATTAAACTAGAAAACTGACTTCACTGGAAAAAAAACACGTTGGATCTAGAATCCAGACTCTTGAAAACATTGACAAGAAAAAATACTCTTGATTCGATCGAATTTTTGCTTGAATCAAAACGAAATCCGCTTAAATTAAGAGGCTTGGTTCTTGATTTAAGCTAGATTCTGATTGAAGCAAGAGTACTTTTTCTTGTCGATGTTTCTAAGAGTCTGGACTCTAGATCCAATGTGTTTTTTTTTTTTTCCAGTGTTCATAATGAGGTGTCATGGAGATGAATGGCATGTTCATAGTTTTGTCCTCTCAAAATTTATTGGTTTTAAAATGTTCGGATGACAAGTGAAAGGATAGTAAACTCAGTTGCTGTGTTTGAAAATTGTCCTTAAATATTCTAAAAGAGGATGCTGATCTACATTTTTGCCCAAAATGTTCAAATAATATTCTTCGGAGAACGAACAAAAATCCAACGAAAGTCTCTGCAAAAATAATGATTACGGATACCATGGGCTTGCGGTTTATTATTCGTATAAAGAAGGTTCACGGAGATCCGTACTTGATAGTTTCCCCATCGATATAGTTTTTAAAACGGAAACTCTGGTGTTAAAAAACAATATTATTTGTAACAACACTTCAGCTTTGTAATCTTTACATCTTATCCTCCATTTCATCCATGAGTTGCTTAGCGTGATTTGTGTGCGATTGCGTCAATAAAAAATCCACTCAATCTGCAGTGTGCAACAGATCGATTGCCGGAAAACGATTTTGGTCGGGGATTACCCGTTAATAAACATAAGCTCGTGGTGGCGAGGGCGGCTCCGATGGAGGGGAGGTTTTGACTCTTCGATGAGGATGAGATAGGGCCAAGTTAAACAAATCTTTTCATTAAGATACATCAATGCGAAGGAGTTAACCAAGCGGCTAATGACTGGTCAGGGGAGGGCCGCCCCTCGGCAGTCGCGCCCGCGCCCCCGTCGCATCGGCTCACCCCTCGCGATTTCGCACCGCCACGCTACTTGGCTGCACCCCGCAATGAAGATAAATTGCTCCGCATCCCCACTCGCCCACCCCCTACCCCGCTCCCCCCATCCCTCGACGTTAAACGCCGCTCATCGCTCCGAATCTCCACCTACAGCTGCTCAACAATCCGTGACCAACGCCCGTGGCGCAGCCCGCATTCCATCGCAGGAATATCTTCATTGAGAAAAACATGTTCGGAAAATACTATAAAGTTGCTTACGGGCATGCTTACAGACATGCTTAAGACATGCTTAGGGCAACTGTGATGGAATTTTGGGGGATGTCTGCTGGCATCTCAAGGAGAGAGCGTATCCGCAATATAAAGGTTCGCGAGATAATGGGTGTGGAGAATGACATCGTGCACGATATCAGGTCCAAGCAGTTGGTCTGGTATGGACATGTGCGAAGGATGGCAGACGAAAATTTTATTTTTCATGAAATTTCAAGATTTGATTTTTTTTATGAAATTTTAGAAGTACATGAAAGATGCTGAAAAATGCCGGATCCTTTTCATGATTCGCCAAATGTAAAAACTGTGGCTTTCTTCTATTTTTGTGTGTTTTACTGCGGGTTGCATACTCTAGCCCCTGAAAAATATGATATATTTTACAGCCTCACAAAATTTCATCATCAAGATTTTATTTTCCATACAATTTTGTCACCCTGCTTTTGACGTTATGGCTAAAAGACGTTGTAATTTTCGTGTTTCAGGTGTGGTTCAAAAATCGGCGTGCGAAATGGCGGAAGCGAGAGCGGAACGCGATGAACGCGGCAGCGGCGGCGGCGGCGGACTTCAAGAACGGGTTCAGCACCCAGTTCAACGGGCTCATGCAGCCGTTCACCGACTCGGACTCCCTCTACTCCTCGGCCTACTCCTCCTACAACAACTGGGCCACCAAGGTGCCCAGCCCCCTCGGCACCAAGACCTTCCCCTGGTCCGTCAACCCCCTCTCCACGGTCAACCACCACCAAACCACCGTCAACTGCTTCAATTCCGGCGCTTCCTCCGTCTCATCCATGTCCTCTATGTCTAGTAATGGTAAGTCCAAAACAACACATCACCATGAATCTTAGTCTATGATACAAAAGCATAACAGTGATGAAACTACACTGAAAAAAAGTTACGGACTACAGACATACCGTCCGTTCCGGGCTCAAAGGCCAAAAGTTCTGGGTGCCCATCTTTCCCACACGTCTAAAGTTCCTTTTAGCATAAATACGTCCAATAGAGAATTTGCATGTGTCTGAAGTTTGATGAATTTCGTGTTTAAGTGGAAACTACTGAGTGAAATGAGCACAAGGATACACTTTGTTCATGAATTGAACAATTATTGAAGAAAATATGACAAAATGATCTAATTTGCTGAAATACATGTGTTTAGCTAGGAAATGCCGCCTGACGTCACTATAGGCGGTGCATTTTCTCACTTTTAAGTATATTTTTTCTTTTTCCCATATCAGAAAAATATTATAAAAAAATACTGTGAAATCAGCTCTTTCAGCATTTTCAGATGAAGCAATAAAAAATTTGCATGCAAACTCTCCAATTCCGAAACTTTGGCGGTCACGTCCCTCCTCAAATAACCTGTCCAATTTTGTTTCGTATCACTGATTTACTTATCCTAATTTCCAGGTATGACTGGTCTCCCGTTGTCGGGTGGCACAGGGACCGCGAACGCAGGGGGTGCGTGCCCTTACGCTCCCCCAACCACCCCGTACATGTACCACCATCGGCCGGCTGAATCCTGCAATGTCATGTCCTCTAGCATAGCCTCCTTGAGACTCAAAGCCAAGCAACATTCTTCAGGTTTCAATTACTCGCCCGCGTTAACACCTTCCATTTCTACAACAGCTGGTGAGTACATTGAGCCGCCTAGCACCTCTTATCATAATCATCAACGAGATATTATTCATTGATCAATGAGAGAGCACTGAAATCCACGAGATACTCAAGTTTGACCAATCCTTAGGAATGATTATCTCATAGTACAAAAATTGAAAAGTTGCCCTTGTTGAATACATTTGTAGTTGTGCCTGTCCGTGGGTCCCTGAAAGCATCAGTTTTTCATTCTGTGTATTATACTAAAATTGAAGGAGGAAAGAATTAGAGCAATGTTGTCGGGAATATAATGTGATAATGATCGAGGAATAATTATGAAGGAGTTCTGTTCTTCTTCTATTTACATTCATTAAACTGTAGTCGTTGAAGAATGGACGGAAAATTATCAGAATCAAAAATCACTGATAGGTAGTATTACTCGCAGATATCCACTCGTTTCCACACATACTTTTAAACAGGGCCACACAGAAATAAGTGAGCTCAACATTTCAGCAAAAACGATGCACTCGTGCACTGGCCACACTGCACTTTAAAAATGCTATTGGAAAATTACTTTCCGGCCACGTTTGATATCTTTGAGTTATCAATTGGACTTCTTTTGCAATTAGGAACTATAGCTCTTGGCTCATCCGTGAAAACACTTATGTACATAAGGAAACCAATGGCACATAAGTTGTTTCTAAAATGGGCCGGATATTGTAGCTCCTAATTGCAAAATAAAGTTCATTTAAGGTGCAAAACGATTCCAGGATTTCAGTCTAGTTCATGACCCTGGTAAAAATTGGCAGTAGAATCTGTGTTCCAAAATACCATAGACCTACAGCCGGCTGTAAGATTTACAATAGGTTCTATAGCCGGCTACACAATTTCTTATAGCCTTTTATAGCCGATGGCGATTAAGCAACAGCCAGGCGATAAAGTGTATGCTAAGCGTTACTAATTACGGATGCTAGGACTTAGTGAGTTTTTGGAATACTGCTCTCTTTTTGAGCCGTAGTATCTTGATTTATTTTGCGAGGAAAACTCCGTACTTTTAATGGATGCCTGCCATTACTAATATATTAGAGCGCCTTCAGTTTCGTATGATACTGTGCAATACCTCTGGTGTGAAATAGTTGCTTCAAGCGCCGTGGTACGCTGCGGCGCGGCAGGCGGGCAGCCAGCGCGAAACGCGCATTGGCGCCTACAAACCTAACAGGGATACTTCACGCGTTGCGCAATGCGTGAAGTATCCCTGTTAGGTTTGTAGGGGCCAGTGCGTCGCCGCTCCGCTTTGTGTTAGGCTCTAATATTTAATCTGGTGGAGTCAGCGTTATCCAACTCATGATTTTGAAATTTTTCCACATCCTGTATGGATTATTCTAATTTTAATTGGTGAAAAAAATATGTATTACAGGAAAATATAATGTGTGTTTTGTAAATATTAAGGTGGTTCCGTATCAAACTTAATGATTTCCAAAGCACACGAATTTCTACACAATTTCTGATAGCCTTTTATAATCGACGGCGAAAAAGCAACAGCCAGGCGATAGGAACTATAGCCCGGCTGCATAATTTTTTATCGCCTCGTATAGCCCGGCCGTATGATTTTCTCCGCATTCTACAGCCAGGTATATGATTTTCTGTAGCCTTCTTTAGCCGGCTATTAGAATTCCTATGGTATTTTGAAACGCAGCTCTTACCGCCAATTTTTACAAGGGGAGCTCACACCCTATTACGGCCAGAGGCGGATGCAACAACTCGGCAACACCGGATTTCCTCAATTTAAGCCTATACTAAAAAATCGATTCTTGTCGGAGCACCTGGCCCCTCCAAGAATCGATACATCTCCATAAGTTTAAATGGAGGAAATGCGGTGTTGCCAAGTTGTTGCATCCGCCAATGAGTACAGCCCCAACATGATATTGACACTCGCCACGAATCCGCCGCGAAACTCGGATCTCCACACTTGCCGAAAGATGATGCCGGATTATTTTGTTCCTTTTTTCAGAGTAAATCGGCGTTGGGTATAGTTAAAATATTTTGAGGCGACGCGGCGAGCGAGCCAGCTCTCCAGTTTTGTGATTACTCGTATTTTAAGGCGTCATTAATGATGGTCCCGTTGGGTATTTACAGAGAACTCCTCGACGTCGAGTCGGAACTCGTCGGCCTCCTCGAGCGGGGGCCTCTCGGCGTGCCAGTACGCCATGCCCATCACCCCCACCTCCGTCTCGGTCGACGCCGGCGGCAACCGCACCCCCGTCTGACAAATGGTCTCCTCCACCAACCACCGCTACAACGTCGAGGACCTCATCGACTTCAACAAACAACAACAGCAGCAGCAGCAGCAACCCAGCGACGGCAATCAGTCACTCATCTCCACAACGTCCGAGTCCGAGAGCTCCGAGAGGAAGATCTGCTCCGATATCAAGCAGGAATGTCTCGAGGAGGTCGAGCAGTACTGACTTGGACGAGTGTGCCAGGCGCAGCAGCAACAGCCGGCTCATTCTTGAAATTTATAGACAAAGCTATAGACATAGCAGACACTAGGGATTTGGCGGAATCCTCTCGGTGGCGCGAGTGGTTGAAATAGAAAAATGAGGCATGCAATAGACTAACTAACGGCAACCCACGAGAAACCCTTCAGTTAGTCCTTCATTTTCTCCCTTAGTCTATAAGAACCACCCAAATAAATCAATAGGATCGCTCCAAACTCATTATGCCCTCTTTGTCTACAGCTTTGTCTATCAATTTTAACTTTCCAGTGGGCCGCTTATTGAAATTGATAGACAGAGCAATAGACAAAGAAGACAAAAGTGATATGGAGGGATGTGAAGGGATCTCATCGGGGAAGCGAGTGGTTGCAATGCACGAAGGAGGTAGGTAATTGACTAACTAACGGCAACTCACGAGAGACCCTTTAGTTAGTCCTTCATTTTCTCCCATAGTCTTCAAGAACCACCCAAATTAACCAATAAGATCGCTTCATATCTATTATGTCCTCTTTGTCTATTGCTTTGTCTATCAATTTCAAAAATTAGTCTGCCGGGCGTTTTCTTCGGGAGAATCCTGAGAAATAGAATTGAGACAAGGTGCATGGTAACATCCTGAAATCCAACAAATTCTTGAAAGAGTCGAACTCGACCCTTTTGACAACGTCACTTGGCTCCATTTTGCTACGCACTGTCCGTGTCCGAATGATCCTCGATATCTCTTGTCTCTATCTTAATCGAATCGGTTTCTGTTGGACGTGCGTGAGTCCAAAAACTCATGAACCCTAGCGCCCTGCATGATCAACGAAAGCCGAAGCTCATGAGATTTCAGAATTACGCCCGTCGATCAGAAACCGATTCAATTAGTATCCGCAAGTCTTCACGCGCTCCACGCTGAATGCGTCTAAAAATTAGGCTCTGGCATCCCAAAATGATGGGCTTTGACGCCCAAAAATTAGGGGGTCATAAAATTAGGATCGCTGGCTGAACGTAGAATCTAAATCATGTGTTAGGATGCAACCTTGATTCCTGTTGCTTTCATGCTCCTTGAAAAATATTCCGCTGCTACCCAAAAGTCGCGCTCTGGCCTTTAACATACTTAAGATGGCACCTGAACACTAAGTTGATTAGCCAAATTGCCTCTGAAATTTCATGGATGAGGTTAGAGAACTGTCAAAAATCCCCTATTTTTGTCTTAAGAATCCATCAGGCATTCTGCCCAGACTTCCAGAGCTTGATCCTCTCTTTATTATTGTATACGTTACAGAAAACAATATTAATTAGGAAAAATGCCCACATTTTTATGGCGATGTGAATGTAATCTACGGGTGCAATAGTATGGTTTAAGTTCTTCTTTATCTCTCTTCCTCTTCCTTCTCTCTCCCTCTCCCCCCCCCCTCATTTCTTAATTTTCCGACGAGTCAAAAACTCCTAAGCAATATTAAGGCAGAATTTTGAGGGCTATGGAACCGGATTAAAAATCAGGTGACTTTTCTTCCCTCATTCCTTTAAAAATATACAAAGTGCAATATATTTATTAGTAGGAAACTCTTTGCCTAAAATTGAGGTTAGTTAATTGTTTGTTCTTGCAAACTGCAGGCGGGAATATGAGCCTGTAGTTTTTTATTTTTATGGGATGAAACGGACCAAACGTAGTTGAAGAGAAAAACACAAAAATGAGACTAAAGTATAGTATCGATAAAACTCTATGGCAGTACCATTTTACAGTAGGTATTTATGCGCAACTATATTTTTTCGTTGTTATTGTTGTGAAGAAATCTTGAAACATTCGATATTTATTTGGATGTGTTTTAATACATTTTTAACTTTCCACCTTCTTCATCTTGTCTCCTTGTTTTCATCAGCTACAATCTCCTTTCCTGTCTTGAGATGATGATTCGCTACCCTCAATCTTTAAAATACACGTTAAAGCAGTGATATCCACCACCAAAGGACTTATCATAAATTGGACCTTTTTTAGGAGACAGGAACTAACTTTTGAAGCTTATTTAAGAAACAACGTATCAGCCTTCAGCCTTTGATTTACATCTAAAGATTAGTTCAGAGGTATTATTCTTCATGTATTTTGTTCCTTTCTGCTTAAAATCTGTCCGATGAAAGTAACGTAAATGTCTCAAATCTATGAACATTTATCACTATTTGAGGCTTCATTGGTATCTTTTCACGTTCATTACATAAAAATAAATCAATTATTTTAGTTCCTTGAAAATGTCATCGACCTCTCATCACCGGTGAAAAAATATCCCAGTTAAATTTTTAGCAAAAGAATTGCTTGGTTTTCGTGCAAAAAAATAACTTGATATTAGAAATTCTGGAGCACAGCAATGAAACTACCTATATTTGGACGTACTTCAGCATTATGTGATGTCAAACTAATGCGTGGAGAAGAAGTTCTCTAGGCAGATATTTCTATCCAAGTATTTCTCCTAGGCTTTCTCCAATTGTTTTATAAGAATATTGTAAATTGTAATTATGATTTGGTGTAAATACATTTAGATGTTTTTATGATTGTATATTTGTCTTAAAACTGAATGAAAGAATATTTGTGAACAGTTTAATGTCTAGTCTTGTATTTTGTAAGAAAAATTCAAAATGTAAATCTAATTGAAATACACACTATGTTTACATAAAAAAATAGACCGATCTCTATTGAATTCATTTATTTTCTGTGTTTTGTTTGCATATTGATTTAGAATTTGTTTCATGAAAACTCAGTTATTTTCCTCTGCATACAGAAAGGCAATATCAATGACTAAACTTGAAAATCACACATTTTGGTTTGCGACGTTACAGACATTTCCTCACATTATATGCTCAAATTTGAGCCCTGGTCAGCTCGATTTCTCATTGACTTTTCCGGGTCTCCTACCCTGTTTGAAGACGAATCCGAGAAATTTCAACGTATGAAGTTTGGTCCCATGTTTTAAAAAAAATTAAACTGGAACTTTTAAATTACCAAAAGCAAATTTGAATCAACGTAATCTAATTACGTGACCTCCGAGGTTAGACATTGATACTATGAAAACCTTACATATTTTGACCAAGAAAGTGTATCGAGTAAGGCAATGGTTACTTACGAGAGTCGCAGCACTTAGCAATGCCGATTCTTACAGGTTGACAACAACGTTTTTCCTCCATTTGTATGATTATAAAACAATCAATTAGAGGTGGCAGGCTGTCTCGTCTATTCACCTAAAATCGATACAAATAGTGAATTTAAATGAAGATATCACAGTATTGCAGACTTGCCAAAATCTCCTCTGACTATCAGGAAAGTTTCAGGGAAAAAAGTTGTTCAGAAAGGGCAAATATTTCTAGGGCAGGCTTGAAAGATACCCTAAATGCACCAAGATCACAAATACCCTTCAAGTGTATTGTGACCAGAGATTCAAGGGACCCCGAAAGGTCAAATGTAATATGGGGGGAGGGGGACTAGGCAAGTTGTGGCGGGAAAGAAGCTTCTACATTTGAGTCGCCCTGTACCGTAGAAAAGCTTATATGAGGTTTCTGTAAAATGGAACAATACGACTTTGATCGGAAAATGTTCTCAAGAGTTTCGTTTGAGAAGTTTTTTCGGTTTTTTGGTAAAAGACCATCAGGGCTTGACAGTATAACGGTTCAAAGACAAAAACAGTGCGAAGAAAAAAATATGTGGACGGTCCGTTGAATAGCATGGGTTGATCGGTGTGCCTGTGCTGTACTATGGTAGGACCGAGTGATTTCAAAAAGCGAGCTCTACTGACGCTTAAATATATGCAACCCCTCATTTGCCCGAGACATTATAAATTTTCATCCAAAACTTCGTGTGCAAAAACATCAACAAATATGGCAAACTCCCCCCTCCCCCCTGTAACGAGGCAAATCCCGTTTCTTCAGAGGCACATGCGTCCTCTGGTATAAGATAAGCCAACGTTACTGTAGTTGCCGGAATGAGCTCGCCGGGATCCTGGATTCGGGCGCCAATTTAAAAATGAGTTTGGAAAAGGGGAAGAATGATCCAAATCTTATGTCTCAAATTTCTTGGTTTATTTACAAAAACAAATGTCCTTTCGTTGGCTAAGTTTGTGAGGATCCTACACTCAAAATATTATGATAGTAATAATTTACGATATAATGAAAGGAAAGGGAAGCCGAAATGCCACTCACGAACGTGCACCTCAAGGCTGGAAATTACAGGATACATGTAGGAGGAGAGGAGGAGTGAAGCTGGGCGAGATGCTACTCATTAACGTGCACCTCAGTACAGAAGAAGAGAAAAGTGGAAAGTGAATGGACAGAGGGCTCGACGAGATGCGACTCACTGACGTGCACCGTGCACCTCAAGTCGAGAAAAATTTAGGCAAGATGAGAGAAAAGGTGACCCTCCGGAAAGGAGAGGGTGATGAACAATGGTTGGCTTAGAGGGCTATCAGATTGATTTGAAGCTATTGAAAGACGATCTCGACATTCGTTGCAAAATTTTTGTTACAAGAAAAATTAATTAAAATATAAAATTTACAGAAATGGATGTAGGAAAATTTCCTACAGAAGTTTATAGTAGTTTAGAATTTTTTACAATTTTTCGTTTTGGGTAAATCTACGGAAAACCCTGATTTCACAGTTATCTTCGAGAGAGAAAAAAAGAGAAACAGTATTCCATTTCTTTTCATTATTCAAACAGCTGATGTACCGTCACCGGGCGTCGTGGCGCGGTGTCGCCAAGCCGTGACACATTTGTCGCTATTTTGGTCTACAAAAGAAGGGGAAAAACTTAAAACGGAGAATGAAATTCTTCGTTACACCCCCACCCTATTCCCGATCTCACAAACCGCGACAATCGCGCTCATCGACGCGCGTGGTTGGGAAGTTATGCGCTTTTGACGCTTTTCCGCAAAGTCTCCCAACTTTAAGACAACTTTTTTTCAATGTAATCTATGAATGCAGAGCTTGCAATCTATAATGCTGCTCTTAAAAACTAAAAGTCGGAAAATGATGCATTACTTTCGGTTTTTCGGGTTCTTGAACCCGAGAAAAATGTACGCCGAAAAGATCTTTTTTACCTCATTTAAAAATGATACATTCAATAAAGAAAGTGAAAGGTGAAATTTTGAAGGAGAGACAAGGTGTTCAGTGAGAAAAGTAAAAATAAAGAGATAGGAATACATGTATATTAAATTCATCAGAGATCTAAAGCAGGCTGCAGGAGGTCCCATTCAACAATCATTTTTTTGACAGTGACAATGTTTTTGGACGTTACCGAATAATTAGAGCCTGATTTCGCAAGATTAAACATAACTAAATTTTATTGAAGTTCACTGACTGATTGTAAATGGCTTCTTTTGGCTCCCCTCGTAAATCCAGAGTTTTTGGCAAACCAGGTGCAGTCATATTTTAATGATACTTTCATTAACCCTCAGATGCTGAAGCCCGGTCAAATTGGCAGGAGACTTGTTTAAAAAACTAGCCACGCGAGTTGTGAGGGCCCGCGATACATACGAACCGTAGGTGTAGGTCTGTAAATATTTGTGCATTAAAAAAGAAGCAAACCTTAAATTGAAAAAAGAAAAAAAAATTGAGGAAATACAGAGTGGAGACGTAATCGGGCATTTTAAATTTTTCTCTCGAATCTGAGCGACGACGCCTCACTGACAGCATAGAAAGGAGCATTGTGAGTTCACGCATAGCGCCATCGCGCCTTCAATTTTTCAGATGCAACACGGACATCCATCATGTACGAATAGTTGTATCTCTGCGCCGTCATCAGTGCGCCTCATTTTACTTTGCTTTATTTCCATACTGTGTTTGCTTCAGTTTGTCTCATTTGTATTTTTAGCGGTGATTTAAAGACTGTATGAGGAACACAGCCGTAAATAGGAGAGCTGTAATAATCAAGCCTCGTTTTTTAACTTTTCTCACGACACCTCATTGGCAGCATAAAGTGGAGCTGCCGAACATCGCGAATTCACAGCTCGCGCCATCGCACCTTCAATTTTGCAGATGTAACACAGACATCCATCACGCACGAATAGTTGTATCTCTGAGCCGTCTTTCCATTTGCTCTATTTTCATATTGTGTTAGTTTCGTTTGTCTCATTCGTAGTGGTGCTTCAAGGGCTACGTGAGCAACACAGCCGAAAATAGGATGTGCAATTATCATTTTGAAAAGAAAAAAAAATGTTAGAGGTCCCTGAAGCGATCAAAAGGGCTCACGCCTAAAAATTGACTGTACTACCTCTTTTGAGAGAGTGACACATGGAGGATGAGGAAGGGGGTGATAAAGCGTCTCTATGTCATCAAAAACGTGAAATTTTCGATGGAAAGAATTTTTTACCCATCTTAGAAATTTTATGCATAGGTATTTTGACACTTGACTAAAGTTCGAGAGCTAGTTTGATTTCCTGACGTAATGATCGCCGCTCATCGTCCGCTTATCGAAAATATTTTCAATCAAAACTAATTTTACGATGGAGAGTGACCACTTTTTCGCGTAATAGCGAAATCTAAAAGCGTAAAGGGTAACAGCGAAAGTTTGCACACTTTATTTACTCGAATGTCTGCTAGTTAGTGAAATAATTGTCATTCAATACAGCTTGATTAAACCAGTATGTCCCAATTTTTCACATTCTCCTCTCTAAAATATTGGGCTACGGATACAAAATCTGAATTCAGCAAATAATAAAAAACCAAAACATCAATTTTCCAACATTTTTGTAGGCCCAGGCGCAGGCCCGGACTTAGGGCGTGTGCAGGGCGTGCGGCGCACACGGGCGCCAGCCTTTGAGGGGCGCCACGAAAGAAGAAGAGAGGGAAAAAAAGGGGGGAAAAGGAAAAGGAAAAAAGGGAAGAAAGGACAAGGGGAAAAAAGGAAAAGGAAACAAGGTTGGGCAGTGAAAGCAAGGAAGAAGAGGGGAAATAGAAAGAAAAAGGAGGCAAGGAAAGTGAAAAGAGAGTCCGCGAGAAAGGGGGGGGCATAAAAACCATAGACAAAATACTAAGAGAATTGCCGTCTAAAGGTAAATTTTCAGGACGAAAACTCCACCTGGTCCATAGACGGTCAGGCGCCCCTTGACCCTAAATTTGCGGCTGTACAGAAATACAAGAGTATGCATGTAGTAAGGGGGCGCCGTAAATCCATCGAACAGGAGCCGACATAGCATGTTAGGCCACGTCCGCCATCTTGGATTTGAGAATTTTCAAAAATCGACTAAAAATTCGAGTTTCCCGTCGAAAAGTACCCCTGATCCCGCGGTTCACAAAGCTCTAACGAACAGAAACGGAGGCCAGAACCGGGGCTCATTTTAGGCCACATCCAACATTTTGGAGTTGAGAATTTTAAAAATTTGACTAAAATTTCGAGTTTTCCGTGGAAAATTCCGTGTGATACCGCGTTTCACAAGACTCGAACAAACAGAAACCGAGATAGCATTTTAGCCCTCGTCCGCCATCTTGAATTTGAGAATTTTAGAAAATGGACTAAAAATTCGAGTTTCCTGTCGAAAAATACCTCCTGACACTGAATTTCAGAGAAATCCACCGAACAGGGGCCGAGATAGCATTTTAAGCCATTTCGGATTTTCGAATTTTGAATTTTTTGAATTTTGACAGATTTTAATTTTAAAACGCGTGATCCCCAAAATCGAAGTTCAGATTCGGATT